TTTTAATTGGAGAGGCAAAGTGAACGATTTATCGGACTAGACGAGACAAGGTAGAGACCTTGAGGTGCAACATTAAAGCCAGACTACGGCTGGAGTTCAGTTTCCACAGGACCACGGGGAACATGGAGCTGGAGCTGTGAGGAGATAATGTGACTGAAAAAGGAGAGCTGAGCTTCAGTAACTGTCCTGGCTCATTGTGAATGTGTGTTTTTGATTGGCTGTACAACTTTGCCTGTTTAGCTTTATTATGTAAATAAAGTATTTAAAAAAACTTCTTGTGTGTTTTTGGAGATGTTCAGTGACATCATCGTCATGAATAAACAGATGTTCAGTGACATCATCGTCATGAATAAACAGATGTTCAGTGACATCATCGTCATGAATAAACAGATGTTCAGTGACATCATCGTCATGAATAAACAGATGTTCAGTGACATCATCGTCATGAATAAACAGATGTTCAGTGACATCATCGTCATGAATAAACAGATGTTCAGTGACATCATCGTCATGAATAAACAGATGTTCAGTGACATCATCGTCATTATTTTGACCTGCGCGTTATTGAAGCAGGAGGCGGGACAAAGAGGGGGCGTGGTTTGAATATTTTCTGTTGACTTTTGATCATCTTTTGGACTTTTGTTTATAATTATTTCTCACTTTGTAGTTAAATAAATCAACAAACTTATCTGGACTTTGACTTTGATTTGGATATGAACAAGTCCCGGGTTCAGGCTCACTTAGTCTCTGTGCGGTATTCTTCATTCTGAGCCGCCACACCAACAAATCCTAAAGTGTAACAGCAGCTGAACACACTGATTGATCGTTTCCTGTTTACTAAATCAGTACAAAGAAATGATGTCCAAACTCATTTCTCCCTTTAGTTCTGTATCAAACCAACATGCTCCAGGAAATAGACTGATCCAAACCAACCATTTACAACTACCCCCCCTCCCCCAGCCACAAACATCCTCTGCTTTCAGGAACAGTTTTATGGAAGCGATCAGTGATCAAAATTCAAATGAAAAAGCTAATTTAAAAATTCAAATGCATTAACTTTCAGAATATAGGAGCATTATTTGACCTATATTTAAAATGAATATTCAGTCATCCAGTTTGCATTTTACTTTTACTCTCTATGTCTGCATATTTTATGACATCATTCAAATGAAAACGAAAAGGTCTTTGGCTTTTCATTTTCAAACCCATCGTTCTGCCCGCTCGCCTCATAAACTGTAAATATTACGTTCGGACTAAAAGTGCCAAAAAGAAATATATAAATATATAATTAATTAAATCATTAAATGTGTCATCAATTATTTAATATTGGAAATAAATCAACAAATATATAAATAAATATATAATTATATAATTAATTAAATGCATGTGTTATTAAATAATTAAATAATTATTTAAAATGTGTCATTAATTATTTAAAATGTTAATTCATTTAATGTAAAACCACATTTAATTATTTTACTATTTATTTAATTATTTTACTATTTATTTAATTATTTTACTATTTATTTAATTACTTTATCATTTCATGGTCCCTACACCAGCAGTGCATCATGAAATCATTTCATCTGTCACTGCTGCTCGTCAAAGTTTCTAACATCTGATTGGTTACTCAGCAAAGCAAGTCATGACAGATCGATCCCAGATAATGGATTGAAGCAGTGAATGCACTCCGATACGTTAGGTGGCAGTGTTCATCCGTATATTCGTTTTGGATCAATCAGCTCACCATTGGTGCAAAGTGTAAAGCTCTCCGGAGCACAGGTACAGCAGATACCTGTCGCTACACCACGTACACCTGTTCAAGGTAGGTAACCAGATGTGCTTCTAAACGAAGCTAGCTAGTCGGCAGAATGGTGTTAGCATGTCAGCAGCCCTGAAGTTGGACTTTTATCACTTCTTTCTGCTTTACATTCATCAGGACTGAAGGATGTTTTAGCTGAGTGGCGATCATGGGAGCTGGAACATTTTCTCTGTGTTGCAGCCGAAGTAGCAAGGCTGTTTGTTCCATACAACAACAACAACAACAACAACAACAACAACAACAACAACAACAACAACAACAACAATTTGGCTGACAACAAGGCTGATAAAGTTCCAAGCGTTGAGCTGAAAGCTTCTTGCTTCAGGACTTGGAGAACAGAGGTGATCTTCTCAGGTGCGTCTGAAACAAGAAACAAAGCACTGAGTCCTGACTTTAGTAGGAGTTGTATTTTTAATTTCATTTTATCACCATTTGTGTTCACCTATTTTACATGTTAGACTCAAACTTTAATGACGTGATTTTCTTGCTGTGTATTTGTTATCAGCTTAGCTTTTGGTGTTTGAGTTAATGTGCATTATGTATATTTACAGGAAATGACATCGAGCCCATGGTTGTAACAAACAAACTGATGGAGGTGTTTCCAAAGCTGCAAGAAGGGGGAGGCTTTGAGTTTCTAAACATCGCAGTCGAAATCTTGGACTTCTTCAATGTCCCAGCACAGGATACAGCCTTACCTATCGAAAAGATCCATCTCCAACAATTGGACAGGCTACAATGACGATAACTACTGGACTTCACTCTGCCATCTTGGTTTGTCTCCACATTTCTTCAGTTCTCAGCCGAACTGGAAGTAGTTGTAGACCCGCCATGTTAAGAACGTCCCAAAGCTCTCCAACAGTTTTTAAAGGAGAGTAAAGAAGATTTTTAAACATATGAATTAATTAATAAACGTGAGAGAATAAAAATTCACATTATAAAAATAACGGCTTCAATGTGTTTTCTTGGTTTTTGGTAAAATCCAGACAGTCTTAAATTGAGTTTCTTTTCTGTAACTGATAAAAACAGAACCTGAAAAAACACCAAAAGAATTCAAAACAACAGTTCAAAAAACCAGTAAGTGTCCTGCACTCCTGGAGATTTACAATGTATGCTGACGATGCCGTTGTTTTTACACAGGGAAGAAATACTCAACACTCAACAGCCATGAGCCAAGTGCAAAGATTCATGTCTTCAATTAAACCAAAGAAAACGGTCTGCATGATGTTCACTAAACAGCCAACCAGCCTTCAGCAGTCCGCCGTTTACCTGGAAGGTGTAGAGCTTAGTCTAGCTCATGAGTTTAAATATTTAGGCCTAACATTGGACCCAACATTAACATTTAAAAAACACATCAAACAATTAACAAAGACGGTCAATTTTAATATAAACAGTTTTAGACAGGTAAGATCCTTCATGAATATAAATGCTGCTCGAATGTTTTTACACTCGTGGATTTTTTCACATATTGAATACTGTATAACCACATGGTCACTTCCTGCACTTAAACCAATACAATCTCTTTTTAAAAAGCCATAAAACTCTTAGACAAAAAGCCATTTTTGTTTCACCATTGCACGGTTTTAGATAAACATCATTTACTAAATTTTCATAATTTTGTTCATTTTAAAAATGTTTTATATATAAAATGTTGCACGGACTTGCTCCTCCTCCTTTGAAGGACTTTATAAAGCTGAAGTCTGCCAGTGGGATCGGCACCAGGGGCCCCAGCCCGAGGAGACTGTGAGGTCCCACACAGACGCACTACATTCAAACTGTTCTGTCAGTCAAAGGAGCTAAATATTAGAATATTCTCCCACTCACTATAAGAGACTCAAACATATGCAACCTTCAAACCACACCTCAAACAAGTCTGTGACCTTAACCTTTAACCTTTAACCTTTAACCTCTATGTTGGGTTGACTGCTTCAACTGGTGGCTCGGCTGCTTCGTCAGCCATGTTACCAAGAATCCCACTTTAGTGTCACGTCACCTTTTATTCATTCCTTCTTCACAGCTAACTGGAACAGCATTTCATCAGCAGCCATGGAACACAACAACCAATCTCCCGCTCTCTCTTCAAAACATAACGCATCACAACAGGAAGTCACGTCATGAATAACAAAATAAGATCTCAACATGTACACTGTTCTTCAAGTGCATACAAAATAAACGTATAAAACATAAACATATGAACACTGTAAGTCAAACTACACATCACATCATGTATATGTATGTGAATGAGAAAGCTCAACACTCTGTTACCTGATGGAAACTAACACTTCTGAAGTAATCTGACATTTGTGACAGCTGTTCATTAATATACACACAAAGAAATCAATAACTGTCTCTGCCTGTCTCCACAGATCCAGACTTCTCTGAAGCAGTCTGACAGAACCGACCCCCAACAGAGAACTGTGCTGGTCCCGCAGAGTCCTCCTCGTGGACCTGCAGGATTTGAAACAGCAGAGGTTTCTGTTTGGATCTGAAATAATAAACTGTGTTTCTACCTGCACACAGTGTGTGCTCATTGGTCCATTCATGAAGCCATTTCTCTTGCGCATGCGCACTAGTTACCGACGACTCTGGAGTTACGTGGCGGCGGCGGCGGCACATGAAAGGTGAGTTTGTAAAGCGAGAGAGCAGCAGCAGCATTAATAATGACCCTCCAGAGCCTCCGTACGTGTGAACGACCCTCTGAATGGACCACAGAGCTACTCGAGTTAGCTTAGCATGCTATTGGTCTTTGTCTGGTGACGTAGTGCCTACGCTGACCACAATGCATTGTGGGTCTACGCGCCATTTGAAGCTCAGTGTTTACATCCGGACACTTTCCTCTTGTTGGTGAAATGGCTCCTCGTGTTTGTGATTGGTTGTTTTAAGAAGTCCCACGACGGGACAACGAGGCACGTGTTCCCCACGTGGAGGAGAAGGTGTGTTTGCTGTCCACGATGGAGACTGATCCAGACTGGGCTCCATCTCTACATCCGGGACACGAGGACGTTATGCAGACACACAAAGATGTGTCAGGACTAACAACGACCTCCCGGAACCAAAAGCAGCTCCACCGACACGAAGGACACCTGGCAGGTGACATGAAGACTCAACCAGCAGGTCAGTGTTCTTTAGTTTCCTGTGTAGCACAGAGCTAAGTCGTTAGCCGCTGTTAGCCGCGGCTAGCTAACAGTTAGCACATCCTAATGAAGAACATGAAGAGAAATATTGATGTGGTGTGGGATGATAACATCCACCGTGTCCTCGTGGGTCTGTGTCCAGGTGTCTCTGACCCCATCGTTGATTTCAAGGACTTTTAGAATCCACTTCCTGTTTGGATTCCAGTGGAGTGTGATGATGAAGACTTCTTCACCTGTCAGCTCTTTCCTCACACATCGTTCACTTTCTCTCTTTTTACTGCACTCACAAACCTTCTTTAGTTTCTCATCTTTAGACTTCTTAAAGTCCTCTCCAACACATCCGTACAGTAAAACTAGAAGCTGTGAGATCAACCTGAACTTCCTGTTTGATTTAGAAAGTCTTTGAAAACCTGAGAGCAGCTGACTGAAGTCACAAACAGGACAAATAAATGTTTACATGAAGAACACCAGTTCATCTACAGACAGCTGTGTTTACTGTCTCTGTAAAAACATCTAACACACACACACACACACACACACACACACACACACCAGCTGATACCTGCGTGATGCAGACGGGATGAGAGTGAGCGGAGAAAAGACGAGGCAGCGTCTGAAACAAAGGAAGCGTACACACTGAAACCCTGAAGAACTTCTTTTATCATGTTGTGCTTTAAGAACAAGAAGTAATCAGTGGATTGTTTGATTCATGAATGTGACTTTTGAAAACAGAATATCAAGTCTTAAATAAAGTCACAGCTTCCCTCCATGTGTCTTTGTGTCTTCAGTGTTTCCTGCAGACGTCCAGCAGCTGTCGGTGGGTGAAGAAGATCCTCATGAGCAGCAGGAGGGGAGCTCCAGTCTGGACCAGGAGGACTCTGAGACTGTGCACATTAAAGAGGAACAGGAGGAACTGTGGAGCAGTCAGGAGGAACTGGAGGAGGCTGATATCAAGTTCCCCTTCACTCCTGTCTCTGTGAAGAGTGAAGATGATGAAGAGAAACCTCAGTCCTCACAGCTTCATCACAGACACACTGAAGAGATGGAAACAGGAGCTGATGGAGAGGACTGTGGAGGAGCAGAACCAGAGAGGGACTCAGATCCAGAGAGAGGGTTTATATCCAGAGATCGAGGTGAAGATTGAAGACTCTTCTGACACTGAGACTGAAGGTGGCGATGATTGGAAAGAGACCAGAGAACATCAGTCAGGTTTAAAGTCTGTGGAAAAAGATTAAAGATAAGAGACCACAGACTGTTAAGAAAGCTCTCAGCTGCTCTGAGTGTGGTAAAACATTCAAAAGGAAAGGACATCTGAGCACACACATGATCACTCACACAGGAGAGAAACTGTTCAGCTGCTCCGTTTGTGGTAAAAAATTTGGCCACCAAAGAAGTATAATCAGACATATGATAAATCACTCAACAGAGAAACCGTTCAGCTGCTCTGAGTGTGGTAAAGAATTTAGTCAAAAAGATTGTCTGACAAGCCATCTGATGATTCATTCCCAAGTGAAACCATTCAGCTGTGCTGAGTGTGGGAAGGGATTTAACTTCAGGTCAGGACTGAGAATGCATATGGCAAATCACAGAGGTCATCTGTTCAGCTGCTCTGAATGTGGGAAGGGATTCAACCAGAGGAGACATCTGAGAGAACATGTGAGGATTCACAGTGGAGAGAAACCATTCAGCTGCTCTCAGTGTGGTAAAGGTTTTACTCAACAAGGTTCACTGACAGAACATATGAGGATTCACACAGGAGAGAAACCCTTCAGCTGCTCTGAATGTGGTAAGAGCTTTACCCGAAATGGCAATCTGATGGCGCATATGAAAACCCACACAGGAGAGAAACCATTCAGCTGCTCTGAGTGTGGAAAGACATTTAACCTGAAAGGAAACATGACCACACACATGAAAACCCACTCGGGAGGGAAAGCCTTCAGCTGCTCTGAGTGCGGCAAAACATTTAGTAATAAAAGATATCTCACCAGACACCTGAACACTCACACCTCAGGACAGTGAACGTGGTCAGAGCTTCACCCGACAGAACAGACGAGAGAAACTCTTCAGCTGCTCTGAGGGAGGTAAAAGATTTACCCAAAGATGTAGTCTGTCCCAACACGTGTTAGTTCATACTTCAGAGAAACTCTTCAGCTGCTCTAAATGGGATTAATGAATTCAAAAATAAATCTAGTCTTACAGTTCACATCAGAGAGGGGAGAAGGTAATCAAAGCTTTTCTTGGTTTTATCAGTTAAGACTTCACAGATGTGTGTGAGCAGTCAGAGCCTCTTCAAACCAAACGATAAGAAAAGAGGCTGAACGTGAGGATGTGGATCAGAAGAGGAGGTCAGATCCAGAGAGACCCTGAGGCTCCCTGCAGACCAGGGAAGGATGGTGGTCTCTGTGAGCCCCCCCAAGGCTCCCAGACTCCGGTCTCAGAGACTCTGAGGAGAGACCAGTGTTCCCAGTGCTGAGCTAACTCACTGCTGCTGGTTTGACTCTGCAGATGATTCTTCTTCTCAGTCTGCACTCGAACATGTTGTCTTCCTCTTTCTTTAAAGAGTAACTAAACCCTAAAACCACTTTTTTCAACTCTAAACCTCTGTATTTGAGTATTAAGTAGTGTTATGGATCAATCCAAGTCCCAGTCTCCACATTTGAGTACAAAGTATTGAAATTCTAAATATTGTGTTAGAAATGAGCAGAGTCTACCCTTCAGTTTGAAACACTCTAACAGCTGTGTGGAGGACAGTATGACGTAGAGTACAGCCCCACGTCACCAAACCTGTGGGGACTCGTGTGTGTGTGTGTGTGTGTGCGTGCGTGTGCGTGCGTGTGGCAAACATTGTATCATGTTGTGGCTGATAACGGCGCGGAAGGAGTGAGTGGGCGAGTTTACCCCCGTGCCCCCCTCCCTCTCCAAGTTCTGCTCCGGCCCCCGGCGTCATAACGTGCCTCTCGCACACACCTGCCGAACACACACACACACACTCTCTCTCTCCTCACTCGCTCTCCACACACACACACACACACACACACACACACTCTCTCTCTCCTCACTCGCTCTCCCACACACACACACACACACACACACACACTAACAGACACACACACACACACACTAACAGACACACACACACACACACACACACACACACACACACACACACACACACACACACTCTCTCTCTCTCCTCACTCGCTCTCCCCACACACACACACACACACACACACACTAACAGACACACACACACACACACTAACAGACACACACACACACACACCACACACACACACACACACACACACACTCTCTCTCTCTCCTCACTCGCTCTCCCACACACACACACACTCTCTCTCTCCTCACTCGCTCTCCCCACACACACACACACACTCTCTCTCTCTCCTCACTCGCTCTCCCCACACACACACACACACACACACACACACACACACACACACACACACACACATGCACACTGAGCCCTGGGTCGAGCAGTACAACTGAAAGTATGAGGTTTAGTTACCCTTAAATGAAATCTTTCAATAGAAGCTCTCCTGTCTTCATCTTCTAAACAAAACAATAAAAAAGTGAATCAGATATTTTGTCTTTTTTTTGGTTTATCAGCGTCTCCTCACGGGGCTGCATGCTGAGCTCTCTACATCACCCTGATGTGTTTCTGCACTCTCATCGGGGTCCTGGCAGCCCGGTTCTGGATGTTCTGGACTTTCTGAACGCTCTTGTGGGCTCGCCACAAGACTAAAAATAAGAATGACGTCTGAGTAACATACAGAGACTCATCATCGTGCTGAACAAACTGATTTACAAACAGTATGTTTAAAAACGCAGAATGAGAAGATTCAGGTAAAAAAAGAAGGAAAAAAAAGAGGATATAGAGGTGTGTGTGTGTGTGTGTGTGTGTGTGTGTGTGTGTGTGTGTCTGTCTCTCTCTCTCTCTCTCTCTCTCCTGGTTCTCAGTTACTGCTCGCATCAAATTTAAAACTCTGCTGCTCGCTTACAAAACAGACACAGAAACGTCTCCTCCTTACTTTAACTCTCTGACCCAGGTCTGCACTCCCCCCCCCCCCACACACACACACACACACACACACACACACACACACACACACACACACACACACTACGCTCTGCCAATGAAAGGGTCCTAAAACGCTGACTAGACTCTTCTCCTCTGTCGCCCCCCGGTGGTGGAATGAACACAGGACCCCACTCACCCACTCAATCCACTCTTCTTTTCTGCCATCAGGTCGGAGATCCGGGACTCTGACTAAATATGTTTTCTTCACGTGCCACGTCATCATATATGTATACCTGTGTATCAACTGTGCAAAGCTGTGACAACAACCCCCCCCCCCCCATTAGTGTGAAAGAAAACAAACCGAGTTTCACGTGGTGTTATGCCGAGAATTGCAACCCTTGGGAAACAGAACTTCCGGTGTTATGCCGAGAATTGCATCCCTGCTGATGAATAGCATGCACCCAGCGGAAGTGTTTAACAGGGTGAGGGCGGAGCCACGACAATAGAGTTTCTTTGATTTTATATCTAAACCCGTTCACGTGGATTAAAGCTCGTGAGTGGAGCTCGTGAAGTGTCCTTAAGGTTCTGTAGACTTTGTAACAGACGGTGTGTGTGTGTGTGTGTGTGTGTGTGTGTGTGTGTGTGTGTGTGTGTGTGTGTGTGTCTCTCGGCTGTGTGTGTGTGTCTCTCGGCTGTGTGTGTGTGTGTGTGTGTGTGTGTGTGTGTGTGTGTGTGTGTGTGTCTCTGTGTGTGTGTGTGTGTGTGTGTGTGTGTGTGTGTGTGTGTCAGATGTCCGGCTTTCAGGAGGTGACAGATTGGAGAGAGCTGTCAGGACAAACAGCAACATGTGGATACGAAGAGGAGCTCCACCGACAAACACAAGTGCTGGATGTGATTTTAACACCGGAAATCAAGCTGCACAGAGCAGGTTGGTTTGAGCCTTTAGCTAACGTTAGCATCCACACACAGCTAGCTCCCGATCACACACGTCTTCACTCTTTATGGACTTCAGTGGACTGAATGTGGACTCTGCTGGTACAGGAGGTGTAGCTAGTTGGCAATAAGTCCCGGGATAGCTGGTTAGCATCAGTTAGACAGATGATAAAGTTGGGGATTTCCACACAGCACTTTTATTCTGTTTTACTAAAAGGACCAAACAAAGCCAGGTGAGCACGGCACCATGTATCCTGATCACACATGACAGGTGAGCACGGCACTATGTATCCTGATCACACATGACAGGTGAGCACGGCACTATGTATCCTGATCACACATGACAGGTGAACACGGCACTATGTATCCTGATCACACATGACAGGTGAGCACGGCACTATGTATCCTGATCACACATGACAGGTGAACACGGCACTATGTATCCTGATCACACATGACAGGTGAACACGGCACTATGTATCCTGATCACACATGACAGGTGAGCACGGCACTATGTATCCTGATCACACATGACAGGTGAGCACGGCACTATGTATCCTGATCACACATGACAGGTGAACACGGCACCATGTATCCTGATCACACATGACAGGTGAACACGGCATCATGTATCCTGATCACACATGACAGGTGAGCACGGCACCATGTATCCTGATCACACATGACAGGTGAGCACGGCACTATGTATCCTGATCACACATGACAGGTGAGCACGGCACTATGTATCCTGATCACACATGACAGGTGAACATAGGTAATCATCCTGCACCAACTCGTCACTAGAGTTTTGGAGAGTCCTCTCTTGATCGACATACAAGAGGACTGACACAGAGAGACTTTCTCACCCACACACTTAAACAAAACAGAGACACCACCTTGTGGCGCTATTTGGTACTACTAATATATTCTGACTGTTACATATTCCCCCCTGGTGAAAAGAAGGCTGTCCCCAGCTGCACACAGCCGAAGAAGCAACCAACCTGCAATTTGACATACTGCCACACATAGACTTAATGAAAAGTTAGCAGATACACTCGGCTTTGAGTCTTTTGAGCACTTCCTCGAGATCAGTCAGGTGCTCTTCGAAGGTGGGAGAAGCAATAACAATATCATCGAGATACACTGCACATGTCTTGTAGATGAGACCAGCAAGTACACTGTTCATTAGTCTTTGAAATGCGGCTGGTGCGTTGCAGAGACCAAAGGGGAGGACACGAAACTGAAAAAGGCCACAGTGTGATATGAAGGCTGTTTTTGATCTGGATTCCTCTGCAACTGCCACCTGCCAATATCCACGAGCCAAATCCAGTGTTGTGATGAACTGCCCTCTTGCCAGAAAATCAAGCGACTCGTCAATACGAGGCAGGGGGTAAGAGTCTTTTTGTGTGACCTGGTTCAAACCTCTATAGTCCACACAGAATCTCGGGTCCCTGTCAGGTCTGTTAACGATCACAACTGGGGCAGCCCAGGGGCTGGTAGACTGCTCAATGATTCCGTCTTTCAACATCTGCTCTACCTGTTCTTCTATGAGTCTTTTCTTCACAGGAGAGCTGCGGTAGGGAGGGAGATTTATTGGCTTTTCCTGACCTGTATCAATTGTGTGTTCCGTCAGGGAAGTGTGTCCAAGATTACCATCAAACATGTCATCAAACTGGTAAGAAGACTGAACATGGCCTCTTTCTGTTGTTCCTCGAGGTTCGCCTCGTCTATTTTTGTCACCAGTGAAGATTGTAGGGTGTCCAAGGTTATGATAGTGTCTTTTTCAATCAGTGGTTCAACTGTATAGTCCACAACCTCATCAACAGGACAAGGAATTTCATCCATAAATACAGTTCTGGAGGGGATGTGGATGGTAATCGAGGCTCTGATCATAAAATCCATTCCTAGAATGAAAGGGGTTGACAGGTTATGGATTATGGCAAAACGCTGGTAGAAGCGCTTGTTCATGAAGCCGATGGATAGCCAAGTGACACCATCAGGGGTGCAGGGCGCGTTGTCTGCAAGGCTTACAGGTGGACCCACCCACTGGCGTGTTTTGGTTGGATAGGCATTATCCACTCTGATGAAGTACAGCTCGTACAGCTGAAAGGGTAGCTCCTGTGTCTAAGGTGGCCTCCACAGACACAGAATTAAAGTTTATTTTTGTCCTCAGCGGTGTGTTCCAGGGAGCCTGAGAATCAGAGTCCTCGACATGGCCTAGAACATGTTTCTCTTGTGGGGGTGTGGTCAGTGGTTGAGGCTCAATTAGTGTCTGGAGAGAGGATTGCCTCTTTGAAATGTCCTCCCTCCCCTGAAGTTTCCCGGCTGTCTGGTCGGCAGTAGGGAGTCTGCTGACATGCCTCCTGAATCAGGTCTTTGCTCACCTCTGTCTGGGGTCAGATTTATTGGGGGGGTGGGCTCGGGACTGACCTGAGATCTAGCGGGGGGTGCTGGCATATGTGATTCAGCGTTGCAGCTCGGGCAAGTACGAGACGTAAACCCAGGCCGAGAGCATTTGAAGCAGTAGGGCTCATTGGTCTGGTTTCTCCTGAACTGGGTAGAAGGAGGCTGGTTGCCTCTCGGTCCAAGGACTGCATGCACCTCATGAGCTCGGAGCAACAAGTCCATTACTGAAAAGACAGGCATGCCATACAGTGCTACTCATACATATCAGTTCAATCTGTTCTTGTTCAGGGGGTGGGCTCTTCAATTTGTTAAACTCACTCAACATATGAGCCATAAATGTTGGAAGGGGCTCATCAAGTGCTCGAACACGGTCAGAAATGCCTCTCAGGACACATTCCTGGTTGTCAGATGGCAGAAAAACAGTTCTGAAGAGCTGGCAGAATTGAGACCATGTGACGACGTATGAACTGAGTGCCTTGAACCATTTGCTGGGCTCTCTAGCAAGGAAATGTGGCAGTTCGTTTAATATTTGTACATCAGTCAGGTTCAATGAAGATCTGTAAGTGTTGACTTGATGTAACCAGTCTTCAGGGTGCACTTTATTATCACCAGCAAACACAGGGGGCTCTAGCTTAGCATGATGCAATGCAGCAGCAATCATCCTGGATGTGTTGCTGAGTTCGAGTGAATGTGTCTGAAGGGAAAAGTCTGAATGACCAGCTTGAGCTCCAGAATAGGACGGGCCAGACACGGTCACGTCGAGAGGCTGCATGCGGTGGGATGGGAGGGTGAAGATTATCTAGGATTAGCAGCATGGGACGGTCAGGGGTGCAGTTAGTGTGCTGTATCAGGTGATCAAGGATCTCAGCCCAGGTGTCTTCATTCATCCATCCCATTCTGGTGGAGGTACCTTTGGCTCCTGGAGGTGCTCCTATCATGAAGCAGTGGGAGGTGTGGCATTCCCTGCAGCATTCCCAGCACACACCACAATCACCAGTTCTCCTCTCTCAGCCGATGTGACAGAACCAACTTGATGTCTTCCCTTTCTCTGTCACAACCTGAATCAAATAGAAAGTTTAGAATCAATGGCATGTGCAATCAGTGGCTACTACTGGTCTAAAGGTTTTTTCCAGTTCACAGGTTCACAACATTACTAAGAGCATTAGTTTCAGCATTCTGTCAATAGCTAGCTGGTCATTATCACAAGCCACTCAGGATCACTCTGGTGCTCTCTAGTGTATCATGTGTAGCTTACCTGCTGTGGCTTTTGAGCTGTAAAGACGCCTGTTTCCCTGGAGGGAGGAGGAGTCTGTAACACACAGACAGACCCCCCCCCCACACACACACACACACACACTCAGCTGAATAAAGTCTCCTTCATCAAGCTGTAGGTAGAGATACAGCGGCAGGCTTTGGGACAAACTTCCCTCTCTCAGGTGGAAACAGGAACTGTGTGTTACCATGGTTACTCAGCGGTATCTTGCGGAAACGGCTTTTTTTTGTAGCAAAAACTATCTGTAAGAATCTTTAGATTTGCAACATGATTTAATATTCTTTTTGCAACAGTCCCTGTAAATATAAAAGACTTTACAATAAATAAACATATATTTGATCCTCAGAACACATTTGAAGTTGTTAACGTCTGTATGATGATATTAAATGTCTATCTTAGTTGGAGCAGTGTTTGAACTCACAGGTTGCTGTCTCCATGACGACCGGACACAATAGGCGTTGCACGTGATCTGAAAGTCGTCATCGGTGCAGACTCGCTGGTGGAGGGTTTTATAACCCACTACCACTCCATGCTAGTTGGTTTGGGACGGACTTAATATGGAGGACCCTCCACGTGGACGCACAAACGGAGGGGTAGTGGGGAGGGAGAGGGTGTAGTGACCGGTTTGAAAAAGAGTCACAGACAGCTAACCCTAACTCCTAAAGCCTAAACTCTGAGGCGGATCACTTGAGTTAGAAAAGCAGAGAATGGAGGTTCAGAGAGGACGCTCAGGAACTTTTTGATAATTTGGTGTTTTACTCACAGCTTCCCTCCATGTGTCTTTGTGTCTTCAGTGTTTCCTGCAGACGTCCAGCAGCTGTCGGTGGGTGAAGAAGATCCTCATGAGCAGCAGGAGGGGAGCTCCAGTCTGGACCAGGAGGACTCTGAGACTGTGCACATTAAAGAGGAACAGGAGGAACTGTGGAGCAGTCAGGAGGGACTGGAGGAGGCTGATATCAAGTTCCCCTTCACTCCTGTCTCTGTGAAGAGTGAAGATGATGAAGAGAAACCTCAGTCCTCACAGCTTCATCACAGACACACTGAAGAGATGGAAACAGGAGCTGATGGAGAGGACTGTGGAGGAGCAGAACCAGAGAGGGACTCAGATCCAGAGAGACGTTTATATCCAGAGATCGAGGTGAAGACTGAAGACTCATCTGAACCTGAAACTGAAGACTTTCATGATGTTTGGAAGAGGAACAGAAAACATGAGTCAGATTTAAATGATAAGAGAACAAAGACACACTGCTGCTCTGAGTGTGGGAAAACATTTTCCCGTAAAGGATCTCTGTCCAGACACATGATACTCCATTCAGGAGAGAAACCGTTCAGTTGCTCCCTTTGTAGTAAAAGATTTAATCAAAAGCATATTCTGACACTCCACATGGCTCATCACAGAGGGGAGAAACCCCTCAGCTGCAGCGTTTGTGACCAAAGATTCTCTTGGCCTTTCCAGTTACAGAGACACACTCGTGTTGGCTGTCCTTCTTCAGAGACTCATGAGAACCAAACTGAGCTAAACAGAGAAGCAGAAACAGGAGAGGACTGTGGAGGACCAGAACAAGCCAGGAACTCAGATCCAGAGAGACGTTTACAAACACAGACCGAGGTCAAGACTGAAGGTTTGAACTCTGGGGACAGAATTAAAGATAAGGGACCAAAGACTGAGGAGACATCAGTGAGCTCCTCTCAGTGTGGTAAAACATTCAAATGGACAAAGAATGTAATCGAACTCACAAGAATTCACACTGAAGAAAAACCCTTCAGTTGTTCTGAGTGTGGTAAAATATTTATCCACAAAAGAAGTCTGACCAGACACATGATCATTCACAGAGGAGAGAAACCATTTGGTTGTTCCGAGTGTGGTAAAAGTTTCAATCAGAAGCATACCCTCACACTCCACATGGCGCGTCACAGAGGGGAGAAAGCTTTCGGATGCTCTGAGTGTGGGAAAAGATTCAGCCGAAGGTCTTATCTTGCATCTCACATGGGAAACCATGATGAAGAGAAACCACTCAGCTGCTCTGAGTGTGGTGAAAATTTCAACTGTAAGGGAAGTCTAACAGCACACATGATCATTCACACAGGAGAGAAACCATTCAGCTGCTCAGAGTGTGGTAAAAGATTTAACAGTAAAGCAAATGTGACCAGACACAAGAAAGTTCACATTGAAGAACAAAAATTAGAGAAACCCTTTGGCTGTTCTGAATGTGTTAAAACATTTAAACAAAAGTCTCATCTGACGATCCACATGGCTCATCACAGAGGGGAGAAACCCTTCAGCTGCACTGTTTGTGACAAGAGATTCATTTGGACTTTTCAGTTAAAAAGACACAAGTGTGTTGGTGGTCAGGCTTCAGAACCCAATCAAATCCAAACTGAGCTAAACAGAGAGGCAGAAACAGGAGCTGATGGAGAGGACTGTGGAGGATCAGAACAAGTCACCAACTCGAATTCAGAGAGACATTTACATCCAGAGATTGAGGTCAAGACTGAGGACTTTTCTGAACCTGAGACTGATGACAGTGATGATTGGAAGGAGAGCAGAGAACATGAGTCAAGTTTAAACTCTGTGGACAACATGAACGATAAGAGAAGAAAGACACACAGCTGCTCTGAGTGTGGTAAAACATTCATAAGGAAATGGCATCTGATTGATCACATGAGAATTCACTCGGGTGAGAAACCCTTCAGCTGCTCTGAGTGTGACAAAAGATTCAACTGTAAAGGGAATCTGAATAGACACATGATAGTCCACAGAGCAGGGAAAGCCTTCAGCTGCTTTGAATGTGGTGAACATTTTAGTCAGAAGAGATATCTGAGCAGACACATGATGGTTCATACCCGGGTCAAACTATTCAGCTGCTCTGAGTGTGATGAAAGTTTTCAATTGAAGACAGATCTTATGGCTCACATGGAGCAGCACAGTGTAGAAAAACCCTTCAGCTGCTCCGAGTGCGGAAAAAGATTGACCAATAAAGGTTCTCTGACCAGACATATGATCATTCACTCAGGAGAGAAACCATTCAGCTGCTCTGAGTGTGGTAAAAGATTTAGTCAAAAGCAAAGCCTGACTCTCCACATGGCTCATCACAGAGGGGAGAAACCCTTCAGCTGCAGATCATGTGACCAAAGATTCTTTTGGCCTTTTCATTTAAAGAATCACACGTGTGTTGGGGGTCAGACTTCAGAGCATCAGAGACCAGATACAGGAGCTGATGGGAATGATTGTGAAGAACCAGATCTTATCCCCTCTCCCTCCATCTCATCGCTGAAGCCTGCTGCAGATTGGGCAGACGGCTGTTCATCATGATTCGGGTTTTGCCGAGTCTCTAAATGTTGCTGAGTGCTGTGCTGTGCTCATGATAGATGACTTGATTTGTACCCGTAGGCGTCCATCATGAAACACAGATTACAAAACAGATGTAACAACGAACAACACATTGGAGAGAAAGAGAATTATTAAACGGACTCAAACAGGATAATAAACCTGAAATATCGTCTCTTTGTTATCCAGCAGTGAGGGAGGTCTTTTACCTGCTGTTCTGTAAAGTGTCTCCTGATAACATGTGGTATGAATTATCTCTGTACACATAAAGATTGATCGATGTTATGACTGTGAGTCGTGTGTGTGTGTGTGTTGACTGACTGAGATGTTTGTGTGATTTAGTAAATATTGTGTCATGTAGATTTAATGAAGCGGTCAGGTATGGTTGAAGGGGAGAGAAGCCTTTTCTTTGAATCTTTTTCTCCTGTAACTCAGTTAGAGAGGTCATGAGGGCTCTGTCTTCTCTTTACTTAGTTGTTGAGTTTTGATACTTAGGAGGGTTTATCTTTATTATTTTGGCCCGTGCGCTACCTGAAGGTGATGGCGTCTCTCTGTTGTGTCATGGCTCCTCGGGGGGGCCGCCAACCGGCAGACGGCTACATAAGATCTGACTCCCGTGCACCGGCTAATAAGAACTAGCTATGGTAACTTATCCTTTAGTTTCTACACCTGACACACCGAGCAGGAGACGGCAGTAAAGACAGAGACTCTCCCTAAACTCTGATCTGTAGCACAGCCAATCACAGGACTGTGTTTAACCTTTGTAAATAAATATAAATAAATAAAATACTTTGAGCCTCAACAAAAGAGACTTTCTGTCACTGTTGGAACAAACAATAAAGTATCCATCTATATCCATCCATCCAGGTTAAAGTCCAAATGAAGAAGGACTGAGTTCAGTTCTTCACACTCCAGTCCGGTAGGGGGCGGTAAGAAGAAAAATGTACCGGAAGTAGCCGATTGTTTTGTTTCCGGGTCTTCGGGGCTCTTTGTCGCAGAGACCAGGGGTGCATCCGAATTGTCCCTCCTATCTCCTTCACTATCCACTTTACCTTAACCCCGCGAAAACGTCATGAGGTCAAGGAAAGGTGTTAGGAGAAGTCATAAAGGACTTAGGGAAAGGAGATCTCGTTGCTCCGACAATCCGACCACATTTCCACTAGGCCACGTCATTAAATGCGACGGGCCGGCGGAGGTTAATGACGTGGGTCTGCCGTGTTGAAACTACAATGTTCAGATAATGAACTACAAAAAGATCATCTAAAAAACTCTTTCTGTGCTTCTTACCGTTTGAAATAATCCTGATCAGCACGAGGAAGTGAAATTAAAGAAATATAGACGACCAGACTACAAGTAAGAAAAGTGAAACCATCAGCTTCCTGTCCAATCAGAAATCAACATCAACATCAATATGATTGGATGAAATGAATTATTACATTTATGTAAGACAAGAATGTTCAACTGAAGAAATGCACAAAGCATTGTGAAGAGAATGAAATCTGTTGAATCAAACATCCTCTGATAAAAATGTCTCTTATCTTTTATCTCTTTACGATCATCGTTCATGTTCCTGAACGGTCGGATGACGTCATAGCTCATCTCCTTTCCTAAAGGATGGTCCAGTGTATCCTAAAGGAGGTTATAAAGGAAGCACTGACCCACCTTTCCTTAACTTTTAGAGAATTCAAACGGCTCTTATCATGGCCGCCACTTAAATACTTCTGGGGTTTAAGGTGAAGTGGATCGTGAGAGGAGACAGGAGGGACAATTCGGATGCACCCCAGTAGTGGTGTGTGTGTGTGTGTGTGTGTGTGTGTGTGTGTGTGTGTGTGTGTGTGTGTGTGTGTGTGTGTGTGTGTGTGTGTGTGTGTGTGTGTGTGTGTGTGTGTGTGTGTGTGTGTGTGTGTGTGTGTGTGTGTGTGTGTGTGTGTGTCAGATGTCCGGCTTTCAGGAGGTGACAGATTGGAGAGAGCTGTCAGGACAAACAGCAACATGTGGATACGAAGAGGAGCTCCACCGACAAACACAAGTGCTGGATGTGATTTTAACACCGGAAATCAAGCTGCACAGAGCAGGTTGGTTTGAGCCTTTAGCTAACGTTAGCATCCACACACAGCTAGCTCCCGATCACACACGTCTTCACTCTTTATGGATTGAAGTTTATATCACACTGGAGGTGGAGATGTTGTTCTGATATAATCTATGACGTTGTAGTGGCTATTTGTCCAAAAACAACAAAACATCTAAATAAACTAAAATCAAAAACAATCAAATGAGCACTGATGCATCATGGGGGATGTGATGTAATCCAGTGTCCATGCAAGAACTGCGGTTTTTTGGTGGTTTATTTAAAGAAAGCAAACAAAAGAAAGTCGTGGCTCCTGCTGCCTCTCATTGGCCCACCCAGGTGCATGCTGGTCCTCTACCTGCCTCTGGGGCCCACAGTGTTACCCAAATACCGAACAAAATTACTAATGCAAAACTACATTTACTCAACAAATAACTAGCAAAAGAAAGTATTACCCCAAATCTTTTCTAAATAAAGAAAATGTGTAGAATAATTAAATAAACAGCACCACCCAAATATCAGTAAACTAAATACAACAACTAATTCTAACCACAATGAAATATCTCCAACAGAAGTGATTCAGTCTGAACATAATCACAGTAGAGCGGATATCCAGAACAACCTGTCTGCCTCCAGTGTGATATAAACTTAATACAACAGAGAAACAGAAAATAGTTCAGTATTAAAAATCAACTACTAATGCTAATACTAATACTAACGAGAGTGTTGGGTTAGTCAAACATCTTATGTTACTGTGAGAGAGAATGACATGGGCCTGACCACCACTGACCTCATGGAGGGGTGGGGCACCAGTTGTGGTGAATCATGATTTAAAACGTGGTTTTAATGAAGTAATAAGAGTCATACTTAAAGTTTTAAGTGCTTATTAACACTTTTTTTTCTGAAATAATTTACAAAAACACAAAACTTCAGTGTAAAGGCAGATACAGTAATGTATGCACAATTAAATGCACCTAACAGGACGTCAGCAGTTTTGAACTATTTTCTTAATTAAATGTCTACTGTCGATATATATTGATGTTGTATTGATGATATCTCGCCCAGGCCAAAATGTGAATACAGATTTAGCTAAAATAAATGTCATCTTTTTGTTTTATTGTTGTTTTATTCACACTATCCAAACTATACTGGAATAACCGATCTATAAACATGGGAGAAAATATATGAAGTAGGCCTACAATAGTTTCCTTTACATTATATTCATTTTCACTGACACTGTCAAGCCAGGCATTACTTTCTACTCACGTCTGTATTTCTGCATCCATTTACGTTTCAATGGTGCGGGTCTCAGAGACACCTGCAGACATGTTTCCTTTTGACTCCTATGACTTTCTCTCACCCAATCACTAAAGAGCTCTCATTGTTCATGCCAAAAAAGAACCAAACAAACCAACGGACGCTCTGAGGAAGCGGGAACTAGCCGGCTGAATGCGGGCGGAATTATGCTGAGTTCAATTCAATTCAATTCAATTTATTTGTATAGCGTCAACTCATAAGTGTTATCTCAAGACACTTTACAAAAAGCAGGTAAAAGACCTTACTCATTGTTATGATACAAAAAGCAGGTAAAAGACCTTACTCATTGTTATGTTACATAAAGCAGGTAAAATACCTTACTCATTGTTATGATACAAAAAGCAGGTAGAAGACCTTACTCATTGTTATGTTACATAAAGCAGGTAAAAGACCTTACTCATTGTTATGATACAAAAAGCAGGTAGAAGACCTTACTCATTGTTATGTTACATAAAGCAGGTAAAAGACCTTACTCATTGTTATGTTACAAAAAGCAGGTAAAAGACCTTACTCATTGTTATGATACAAAAAGCAGGTAGAAGACCTTACTCATTGTTATGATACAAAAAGCAGGTAAAAGACCTTACTCATTGTTATGTTACATAACATATTCATTCATTTGCATATTCAACTTCAAGGCATATTGGGAATATGGGACAAACTGCGTCCCGTACTGATTCAAAACGGGACGCAATATCAAAGTGTAAAATACGGGACGATTCCGTATTTTACAGGACGGGTGGCAATGTGTACATGAGGCACACACACTAACCACTGGACCACCTGAGCACATGTTGACACCTCATTTGACCAATAAGGGCTTTACGTTCACTGTTCCTAGGCTGCTATAGCCAATGAGAGCCCCGCCATGGCTGGCATGCCGGTTTGTTTCAGAGAGAGTACACGTTGGAGAGAAAAGTTACCACTTACCCAGGATCACTGAGATCTTTTATTAAAGGTGCAGAGATTTGACATTCAAAAGAGAACATGATGGACCGCTCTCCGCTGTATAAATGTGACATTTAGGGGGAATCTAGAAAAAAAAAACACAATAAAATTCAATATCACAATTAAAGATTTGTATCAACATAAAGTCACAGCTTCCCTCCATGTGTCTTTGTGTCTTCAGTGTTTCCTGCAGACGTCCAGCAGCTGTCGGTGGGTGAAGAAGATCCTCATGAGCAGCAGGAGGGGAGCTCCAGTCTGGACCAGGAGGACTCTGAGACTGTGCACATTAAAGAGGAACAGGAGGAACTGTGGAGCAGTCAGGAGGGACTGGAGGAGGCTGATATCAAGTTCCCCTTCACTCCTGTCTCTGTGAAGAGTGAAGATGATGAAGAGAAACCTCAGTCCTCACAGCTTCATCACAGACACACTGAAGAGATGGAAACAGGAGCTGATGGAGAGGACTGTGGAGGAGCAGAACCAGAGAGGGACTCAGATCCAGAGAGAGGTTTATATCCAGAGATTGAGGTCAAGACTGAAGACTCATCTGACCCTGAGACTGATGACAGTGATGATTGGAAAGAGACCAGAGAACATCATTCAGGTGTAAACTCTGTGGAAAAGATTAAAGCTCAGAGAACAAAGACTCATAGCTGCTCTGAGTGTGGGAAAACATTCATAAGGAAGAGGAATCTGAGCCAACACATGATGATTCACACGGGAGAGAAACCGTTCTGCTGCTCTGAGTGTGGTAAAAGCTTCAACAACAAGGGACATCTGAGCAGACATTTGATCACTCATAGCAGAGAGAAACCATTCAGCTGCTCTGAG